GGCACGGTGGGCAGCGAAGCGGCCGGCTGAGAGTTTGATATGATAAACTCGCTCCGACTACGATTGCGTTCGCGCCTTCATCGAACGCCAGAAAAATCGCGGGTCAACACGGAGAATATCTCATCCGACAAAGGCGGACGCTGGGTGAACGGCGGCAAGCGAAATTGCGGGGGGTGAAAACAAAAAAGGAGGGAAAGTTGTGTGTGCCGCTTCAAGCTACTTGAGTGATAGGCTGATCCCGTACACCACTCCACCGTGAATTTCGGGGTCTACTCGGTGGGCGCCGGAAGGGTCGGTGATCTCACGCATGGAGGCATGGCGAGGGGTGTTTACCAAGGTTGCTGGGATCTGCTAAGTAATTTCGACAGATACAAAGATGGGTGAACGTCGGAGTACCAGGGTTAACGGCGGAAACGTCGGAGCTTCAAGGCAGAAAATACTTCGGGGCTTGTTTCCGCTACCATGATTTTTGGGCGAGATTTCTACGGTGGGAGACGGGTGAACGTCTGCCCACCAGTTGTTTTAAGCTTCACGGTGTAACTTCAGGAGTTTACCTGGGGGAGTTCAACAGCGAGATCTGCGGCGTTGATGCGCGTTAGGGTCCGTGAAAATCGGTCTCGGAAGACCCATAAGTACTGGGTTCCACGCCAAAAAAGCACCTCCTGTTGGTGGGTTGCTTGTTTGGTTAACCGCACGAAAAAAATGGTGACCGGGTGGGCGTGCTAGAAACACCGGTTCTTTCGGAGGACAACCTGCGGGCGACCAAGATTTATGTGGTGTGTTATTTTCCGACATTTGCGGGTGCTACGTGCAGTTCCGAGGATGAGTTTTAACGGAGTCAGCGGGGTCGTCGACAGTATCCGTGCCAACGGCGGAGTTGCAGCGTCGCTTGATTAAGCGCGCGAAGGCACTCGTCGTTAAATGAATTAGCCGTACAAATCAGAAGCTGCTCGGGGGTACCACCGACAACACCAGGAGAAGCTGCACAGCACGTGGGGGGTGAAGGCGACAGCTGTTTTCGCCCCTGCCCGGATGAGTTCGGCGAGTCAGGACAACAATGACAGTGAATCTGACGTCATCTGCAGTCAAGTTCAATTTTGAGAAATTATTTGCGAGGCCAGGGGGAAGAACAGCAGCTGTTTTTCGCCTCTGCCCGGGAGTTCTCGAAGAAAAGCGACTAAGTCATCGGCGAGTCCCGACAAAGCAGCCGGGGGTACTGACGTCATACGCAATTGAGTTCGAGTTTCTGATGGAGTTTTCAAGACTGACATCGGGTCAGTTACGTGATCCGCCCTTTTCGCCGAGTGTCGCTGATGCGCTACAACGATTTCGGGAATTTCGCGACTTTCTTCGACGACGAACTTCAACGATCCGGAGTCACGACTGACGGAATTTCGAAGTGGTTTCGGGATTTCGTACTAGCGACAAGGCGGCCAACAGATTTACGCCAGCGACAAAATTCGATTTTGGGTTGCAGCTGCTGACAGCTGGAGATGCTGCAGCAATCGAGGATTTCGATTCTGCCACAGCAACAAGACAACGGCAGCAATCACAGGTGATTTCACCACGACATAAGGACAACAATGTGATTTTCGGGTGGCAACTATTGACAGCTGGAGGTCTGCAGCAGCAGTCGCGACAAAGGGACAACACGACGACTCTTCAAGGAGGGAAGAAAGAGTGCTCTCGCACTGTACTTGTCAGTTTTTTCTGATAGTTCGTCTGACACATTCAACACGACCGACGCTCGCGATGACTTCATCGACATCAACGGCTAATGATTCACTGACATCTGACATCGTGTCAGACTCCCGCCATCATCGCCAGTATCACTACCGACCGTTTCGTGACCGCTACATCAACGACTATAATTCAATCGCATATTCAGTTCGCCACTTCAATCGCGACTGCCAGATCGACATCTGGAAATTAGACGGCTGACATTCTTCAGGCGAGCAGCAGGGCTAACTTTAGTAAAATGACCCGTCTGATGTCAAGACCGGGTCCTGGCTCCTTGTCTGATTGTCAGACGAAAGCTGTAACATTGTCTAGCTTTTCATACGAATCCAATATACTTGTCTGAGATTTCTGAGAAGATCTAAAGCCAGCAAGCAATGTACTCTCAAAATTGAATATAAAAGTCAAGTACCAGCGATTAACAGCCCTAATTGTCCAGTCAGTAGAATAGGGAGTAGTGAAGACTGAGGCCCTGTTCGGTAGCCCCCCCAGTCACACTGCGGTTGGTGCATGTGATCTTCCTCGGCCCAATTTCAACTTACCTTAAAGCCCACCAAATCGTTATTAGAACACCATACCTGCCCAGTGCGAGTTGGCTATCGAACGCGTAAAAAACCCAGTCCGAGTGAAGTTGAGGACGCTACCACGAAAATGCTTGCCCAGGCAAGCTCGACCGTCAGTGAAAGTCAATCCCATTTCTGCTTTCCAGTTCCACTCAGGCGGGCCCGCTCTGAGTGGCATGCTGTAGGGTAAACGCTGCATTAGTTTCGAATCGGGTCAAATTATGTCTTTCAGCCCGCTCGTTCAAACGATGAGAGATCGTGCCCGTTCGTGGTTTTCTTTTTTTCCATATCGAGGGTTTTCCATTTGGCGGGCTGTTTTTGTTTGTGAGCTGGGCAGCCTCGTACAGCAGTAAAAGATTCGACAAGTAATTTCTCGAGAAACACACTGTAACGTCTTGCAATTTTGGACGAGGTTTCCTTTCAGTGTGAGTGGACACCCGAGGCTACGAAACATGTCGTAGGTTTCCCCAGTTCGAGTGGGCCCAGTGTGACTGGAAGGCTACCGAACAGGGCCTGAGGTTTCCGGTTCGAATCTTGTCTCCTGCTTCTTCCAGGCAGGTGCAGACATTCTTCGAGGGTTTTGCCTTCAGACGAAAAAGACTCGATATCTGCAGTCTCAGACGAACTGTAGGCTGTCTGAGAAATCAGATGAATAGAAAAAGCTTCTCTTAAAAATCAGATGAAATTAACCAGCATGTCTACAACATCAGATGAACCAGTAAAAACGTGTTCAGAATCCAGAAATTAAGACAAATTTTTATGATAAAGTAAGCCCTGGCGAGAGGTTTTTAGGAAAAGAAATCATGATATCGTAGGGCCTGGCTTCAGCCCTGGCTGCTACTACTGCTGTTCTTGAGTTCTCTCAAGAGAAAGAAATGCCTTCAAGAATAATGTAATGGCTTCTTCTGACGGGAGCTTCTCACTACCATGGCGCCATGAATCAGTATCTTCGATTTACATATAAGCGCCTTGTACGGTAGCTTCTTCGGATGCCAGCGTCAGCTGCACAGAAACCAATCAGGATCGACTGTCGCAAGAGGTTTTCCCTGCCCCGCAAGTTGTGTTTCAAACCAGAGAGGGTAACCCTGTTTTGGAGACTTCAAGTTCAAGAATCGTGAATTTGAAAAACACCATGAATTACTCTGGTTTTAACAAATGATGATCTACATGACATTGTAGGGCTGCTTCGCTTGTGGCCTTTCTTCAAGGTCCTACATAAACCTACATGAAACTATATTGAACCCGTCGCAATTCCTCTATGCCCCCTGACACGGGCCCGAATTGCGCACTGTCCAACCGCCTGAAATCTGGCAACGGACCGAGCCGCCAGATCAATGGTGCTGAAAGTATGCCACGGTGCATCGCTATACTGCACGTTCTAATACGGTGCTGTTTCTTGACACTACATCCTGGTTGTGTAATGACTGACAGAATCTGTGGAAGCCAAAACGCGTGATGGCGCCATACAGGCCGAACCGAAATCAAGTCACCTCACCAAGTGAAACGAGAGGATGGATCCACCTCACATGTTCTTCTCACATTCCCATTCGCGCGGCAGAGGCGTTCAGCTTGCAGCTCGAGAAGAGAGTTCGAGAAGAGCAGCAGGCAGTGCAGTAGTGGCTCTGATACACGTGCCGTAGGGCGTGGTGCTTCCATTCATAACGGTTAACTCCGGACCGCACGGCCTAGTATCCTCTTTTCTTTCTCCCAGCTGAAACCGCAGAATTGGCCGCTGTGTTTGGGTCCTGAACATACCATATCCATCATTCGGACGGCGATTAAAACTCGCACTTGCGAACGCACCCGCGTGAGTGTTTCCACGGAGGTGATTTCGCGTTCGATGCGCGCAACGCTCACGAGCTACTAGCGTGACCACGGAGGTGTGGACGGGGAGAAGTCATGCACTGCTCACAGCCATTTTCTTAGCCGATTCCGCTAACTAATTTCCGAGCTCGTTCGTCTTTGCTCCCTTCGCCCTGCGGTCACGATCTACGCGATGCAGCGAGAGTCGAAGCGACGCTAATCGCGTCGCCTTGTCCACTTGCTGATCATCGATGCGATACTGATAATCTGGTAACCGCTAAGCCGTAGTGCATTGTAGCCTCTGCTTGATGAACACAATGTCCCGTGTTTGGCGGAAAGGGGCGACTCGAAGGCCGCCACTGCGGCTTGTGCTGTCGGTGGGGCTGCTGGCCGCGGTGACGATTGGCTGCCTCTCCGCATGGCCCGTGACGGCCGGCATGGCTAGCGCCGCAGGCGGCGCGGAGAACAGCACGCAGGTCGAAGACGACGCGGCTCTGCTGTACGCGGTGAGCATGGCGCGTGACGGCATGGCGCGTGACGGCATGGTGTCTCAACATTTCCCGCCTCCCACACACCTTCCGCCACCCACACACCTTCCGCCACCCACACACCTTCCGCCACCCACACACCTTCCGCCTCCCACACACCTTCCGCCACCCACACACGTTCCGCCTCCCACACACCTTCCGCCACCCACACACCTTCCGCCTCCCACACACCTTCCGCCACCCACACACGTTCCGCCACCCACACACCTTCCGCCTCCCACACACCTTCCGCCACCCACACACCTTCCGCCTCCCACACACCTTCCGCCACCCACACACCTTCCGCCTCCCACACACCCAGCGTATCCTCCCTTGACCTCTCCTGCACCCCCCCACCCTGACGCCAGCA